CCCCAATTGCACTGCGTTTGAGGGCCAAGCTAATGAGGAGCACAGGTATCTACTACAGCATCAACGAAGGAGATTTGTCTCTACTAGTCGCTGCAGATAACTGTCCATACCACGAGGCATTCCTATGTGGGTGGTAGGATGTAATAGGCGCAACCGATTTAATATGGCAGTAAAGCGAAGGAGATTTCCACAATTTCAATACGGGATGCCTCCAGGATAGAAATTAAAGACGAATAGAACGGGAAAAGACTAAAATTTCATTGTTTTATTCAATAAAGTGGAATCATATTGCCAAAAGACAAGGAAGGCAGAGGCCAATAAATAAATATGTAGTATAATAATATATGTGGGGATTATTTTTAAATATTATAAACATCTGCATCAGCTAGTTATAAAAAAGAATGCCAGCCGGTGTAGAAAAATAATTGCCATTCCAAGTCAGGTTTGACTTACCATTGTTTACTCAAGACTTAGTTTTTGTCACTTATTCCCTTTTGTTCTTGGGGCCTCTTATACTTCCACAATCCACAACAGCTCTACCTAATTTTTTTTTTTTGTCATTTGCGAACGCAATTGATCAATGAATGCTCCAAATACTCTTAACATGAGTATTTCCGAATATAAAACAATACATCTTTAATTTGAGTAGAAGTTGGTTGGGGGTGCGGTGAACACCGTCCAAAACACACTAATACGGTTGTTTGACTACGTTTCAGAGTATTTTGTAGCTCTTGATTAGGGCTCTCCAGACTGAGTGATTAATATCTTGTTCTTTGATAGAACTGAACAGACCTGATGAAAACCTACAAAGTACTTACGAAACGTAGACAAACATTTCCTACAATAAGTCCCAAGAACATCTCAAATTACATCTACAGCCAACAGCATCCTCTACAAAAAAATTAAGTAAAACTTTACCATACTACATCTTTTCGTTTTCATTCTTAACTAATCGTAATGCTTACGTAAAATCCACTGTAGAACTTTCAACAGGAACCCAACTTATACAGTCATCATCAAACAGATTTCTTTCAAGTTCTTCAATTTCTGGAGCACCTTCAGGATCCAGCCTTGCAATCAACTTTTTATTGGTCTTCGTTGTGTAGGGGTTAAATCTGTTCAGCACCCATTCTAATTTTACTTTTGATACTGAAACCATGTTGGAGTAGAGTATTTAGTTATGTCAGTACAAACATATACAATACATTCACGTGTTTCCTATATGTTTAATCCGTTGTGGAATTCTATGGAAAACCTAGCGGTAGAAAAATATCTACCGGAAAGCATATCATCGAACTTAAGGTATCAGAATTTTTAGAAAGGAAGAACAAATATCTCACCAATTAAACGCGTATTTCGGTTTCTAATTTTTAAAATATTTTAGATTTTCATGTCTCATTTAACTGTAATAGGCGAAACGCACAATGTTACATGGCTTATCAGCTATCTACGAAAAACGAATAACTCGATTTTTTTGCAAAGTGCGTTTCTTTTAGGAACAATGTAATACAAAATTTCAGCCTTACTATCTTTAATATCTTTCAAATGTATCCGTCATCAGCAGGTATTATATTGTCCGCATTCATCGCAAAGAAAAACCTAACCTTTAAAAGAAGTTTCACTACAACTATGTTTATAATGTTTCACCATTACTCTGTTTAAATTAAAAGTATCTCAATGTTTATTTACACTTAATATCATCCTTCTTTTTGTATTTTTCATATTTATAAGATCTTGATGTAGTGTAGTCGTAGGAAACATATCCTTCAACTATTTTCTGTAGAAAATCTTTCTGGCTAGCTAGGGATACATTACATCCAACCGTCGGGTCACCATTCTCCTGGATGTCATTTTGTCTGTTCTTCTTACCAAGTTTACATTGCATTTCGTTTAGTGGCTGATATTCTATTGTTAGACACAATTAAGATTTGGCCTCATAAATTTGGCTAATCTATTACTCTCTGAACATATGATTGATATGTTTGCATATTTTTAAAAATTATAATTATCATGAGGAATTTATTATTTTGTAAACATTGAACATATTAGTGAAGACAAGGGAGCAGTGTAGTCCAGGGAGTAAGGTGGTTTTTGTTATACATTCGATTTTGTTTTCGCGTCCGCCTCTGGTAGATTCCTAATAGGGTGTATAAAAAAAAAAAAAAAATGACCATTTTATCAAATATAAGATTTCAAAGGACTGTAAATATTTTAATCCTATTTAATAATTACCAATACTTAATAATCCCTTTAGAGCATTCTCTAAGCTTGTTTAATCTCATTCGACTTCTTCAAAAAATGTCTCAATTTAGTTGTTTGTTTTAAATAAGAAACATGTCAGTGTCCTACGAAATTCTCGTAATTTTAAAGCATTACTGGAAAAAGAAATTCACAGCCGCTGAAGGAACTCGTAAAATTATTAAGTTTGACGGGAAAGGTGTCCTTGCCGTGCACAGTGCGCAGCGTTGGTTTGAATAATTTAGCTGTAGGGATGCGACGTCAGAAAGGAAGAATGGCTCCGGGCGACCATTGATAGATATTGGTGAGGTTCTGCAGGAAGCTGTTCAGTCAAATCTGTCCACATGAACTAGTGAACTTTCCAGGGAGTATGTGTGTCGAAAAATACTGTATGTTAGTCTACATCTTCACTCCGTGGGGAAGGTAAAAAAGACTGGTCCTCACGAATTTACTCCTCAGCAATCAGCTAAGAGGTTAGAGGTCATTGAAGGTCAGCTAAATCTCAATACCCGTGAGCAATGGCTAGATCGCAATCAAACTGCTTTTTCGGTTGCTGCAAGGGGGTAATTGAAAAAAAAAATCCATACTTTGCGGTTTTTATTTTTTTATTTTGAAGATGTTATTCATCATGAATTTGTTCCTCATGGATGTTCAATGGATTCTGAACTCTACTGCGAACAACTGGAAAGATTGTACGCGAAATTGTCATGGCGTTATCCTGCTTTGATCAACCGAAAAGGAATTTTATTCCAACAAGATAATGCTCGTTCTCACACTTTCCGTCGAACAAAAAAAAGTTTAAAGAATTTCATGGGTTCGAACTCCTACCTCATGTACCATTCAGTCCAGACATCGCACCATCGGATTACTACGTATTTAGATCCATGGCCCATTTTCTTCAAGAGATTTTTTTTTAAATTTTGCGTAAGTTAAAATTGTGGTCTAAGAGTTCTTTGACAACCATCCCAAAAAATGGTATCAGCGTGGGATGGAGCAATTGCTAGCAGATGTTAAATGATGGCAGATAACAATGGACTATACTTAATATTAATTGTATTTTATATCAAATAAATAATAATACAAATATTTGGTTGAAAACGGCCATTTTTTAAATTTTTTATACACCTTGTTATTTATTCTGTTATATCAGTCGTGGATCGACTCTGGAGTTGAAAGACCCTTCCTGGGACACACCTACCCTCCTTGAACGGCGTTCTATTAATCAATCAATTAATTAAGGAGGGACAACTTGGCGGTTGAGCACGATCTACATATCACATCCTTGCATTTCAATTGGCCCAGGACCAGTACTTGCTTACGAAAACAATAAATGTGTTACCGATTTTAGTACTAGAGAACATAATCATAGCACAAAGCTGGCGCCTAGTGGTTGCTATTGGAAATGAAAATGAAACACTGATCCGTCGAGTGGATGAAGCAATCGAAGAGCCCCTGAGAACTAAAATTTCAGTCAGTGTGACATAACTTTTTACTAACGAAAATTACAACAGCCTGTTGGAAATTCGAAATTGATTGGCCATAAGTGGAAGTGCAAAGCTACAAAACTTGCTAATAAAATAAATTACTTACTGATTTGGAGGGGTTCGTGGGAGGTGACCGGGAACCTTGCAATTCTGTACTCATCGTATTGCTATTGGGTGTGATTCATCAACAATTATGCCTTCCAATCCTCTTTGCTTTGATATCTTCACTCCACCAATCAGTACACTTGTTTACTGTTTATTTTTACTCTCCACAAACTGTACTTTTTGCTTCCTATATGCTTTATTTTATATAATTTCTGATTTCTTGCACTGTCTAATTATTGCCTAACTTTCTCGATTTCATTTCTAAACATGCTTCATATCTTTTTTTTTTTTTAAACTGAGTCCAGTATCCTCAAATTTATCTTTTCGAACATCTTATATTTTATTTTTATCATGTTCTTCATCAGTGCAACTAATAGGGAATGATTCACGTATATCTGAGCACTTCTAATCACATTAATGTTGTGTACTCTGTCAAAACCTATAAAATGTACTACAGCTATAGTGTGTGACCTTCACATTGATTTCATCCTAATGGTTACAAAAATGTATTGTAATGATATAAACACTGTTTATTAATTCAATTAGTATTTTTTTTATTAGTTACGCAATAAAGCAATTGAGGTAGCTTTAAATTCTTATAGTTTTTCTTTCTCTCGGAAGCTTAGGCCTCACATGCTTTTAACTTTTAGGGAGGGGGAAGGACATGAGTAGTATCCAATATTCGTTATTAATTAATCATATTCTTAAATTTAGCTATGTTAAGGCTGTTGAAGTCAATTAGAAAAAAAACAGAAGCACATTTGAAACAAAAAACACTTTTATCCAAAAATAAATTAATACCAGAGTATAATCTCTCTGCTTTGTACAAAAACATATGTATGTGATTAAATAACTTAATCTATTAGTAGGAAGTATAACAAAACTCTTTCAATGGATATATATACAATTCTACAAATAGATATTGTATCAAAACAAAGACTTGATCAGAATCATCAGTTTCAGTTTGAAAAAAAGAAGCAAAATAGAACAAACTGAACTTTTTTTAAGTTTAATATAAGTTCTCTATATTTTTATGATTTTAAATGAACTTCTGTTGCATCTTAATTTATTTTTAGTTAATTTGAAGGACCATGTACCCTGTATTTATACCTCTGTAACTATGGGTATTTTATAAAATTGTCTGAACTGAATCGATTTTTTTTAATTGTCTAGGTGTTCCGAACTGGAATGATGATGTACAATTCAGAATACTGCAGACTATTTACAGTAGATTAACTAGTTCCAAAGATGATTGTCCTCAAAGAGGGCCTCATTGGCAGCAGATTGGATTTCAGGTTCATATTTTTGTTATCTAATTTAAAATTCTTCTCTAACAATAATTTTTCTTCAGTAACAAGTAAACAGTACAATTTTGGTTGTCCTAACTTCATTTCTAATCGTAAGCATAATAAATTAACATAGTAAATTTCCTGGACAAGAGAGTTACCTGAAAATATATTGGAAAGAGCTTTGAGGGCACTCAGTGAGTCAGAGCATATAATTGTTGACTATTGCATTGATGAGTGGGTTAGTGCTAGTGCTTTTAACATTGCCATCAGTTTCAGTTCAGTTGTGAAAATACTGAAGATACTGTCCAGTTTGTATTTTAGAATTCTTTGAGTATTCAACACTGCACATGATGTTGGCTCATTTATTTTAGAACCATCTGTATAAATTATTTTGTCATACTGATAGTTATTGAGTTCAGCTAGCAATGTTTGGTAGATTTTTTGTGAGGAACATTTTCTTGCCTTGGAGGCTTTAACATATTATCTTTTATGAGAAGGAATTAGTCGAGGGTGCGGTCAAAAAAATAAAAAAAATTAAAATATATAAATAATTTTAATTTTTGCCGACGTTTCGACCCACTTTGCAGGTCGTCTTCAGGGCGTTGGATGTGGCACTGTGGGAGGCGGTTGAAACACTGGCAGTCATTTTTGGTCACTGCCAGTGTTTCAACCGCCTCCCGCAGTGCCACATCCAACGCCCTGAAGACGACCTGCAAAGTGGGTCGAAACGTCGGCAAAAATTAAAATTATTTATATATTTTAATTTTTTTTTATTTTTTTGACCGCACCCTCGACTAATTCCTTCTCATATCATATCAACGGTCAACCATCTCTACAATATTATCTTTTATTTTTGGAGTTGATAATGTCCATGGTGGTTGCTTTCTTCCTGGTGTTGAGAATGGATAGAGAATTAGTAATGAGATATCTCATTCTATACCAAAGTGGATAAGAGGAATATTTCAATCTTACATATTTGTCAGCATTATTCTGTTGGGATATAGAATTGTAAGTGGAGTTTTCTGGTTGGATATATATTTTCTTAATATATTTTGCACCCAGCTCTGGACAGCGATATAAAAGAGGTACTACTCCAGTGTCAACGCAAAGACTGTGTACTGGGCTTGTTTTTAAAGCTCGAGTGAAGATGTGTAAACCAGTATGGTAGGCTGCATCTAGTTTTTAATTTTATTATTGCTTGCAGAGGCGTAGATAAAGCTGCCATAATCAATTTTACTGAGGATTATTGCTTGGTATAAACAGAGCATAGTCTTCCTGTCTGATCCCCATCTGGTGTTGCCTAATTTCTTCAGTAACTTCATTCGGCTTATAGTCTTGTATTTTAGTTGTTTTATATGCACAGACCAAGTTAACTTGTTATTCGTTGCTTACAGACCTCAAAATCTAATGTGATTTGTGTACAAAATGGGACGTTATTTAAAGTGATTTTTGGTGAAGTACTATGTTGCCTGAGACAGCTGAAATGTGCACATCGGATCTTATCTGTTGAGAAATTAAATGCTGTTCTTTGTGCCCACAATGCTAAACTCTTTACTACATCCTGAAGGCAGAACTTAATGAATTGAAAGGCCCTTGATTTGCAGAGGATAGCGAAGTCATCAGCAAATAAATAACCTGTAACATTTAGTGCTAAGCAGTCAGTGATATTTCAATTGAAATAAAGTCGTTCTCAATACGGAGCCTTAAGGTAAACCGTTGCTTAGAGACTTTCTTTCAGAAGCAGTTCCAACTACCAAGACTCTGTAAAACCTTGTTCCGAGGAACTTCCTGATAATGTTTGCAAAATTTCTCCTCACGTTCCAATCGTGCAATTGCTTGAAGTTATTGTATTGCCATACTGTGTAAAAATCATTTTTTGTGTTGAAGAATATACTTACTAAGTGTTCCTTATTGACAAATGTATCTTGAATCTCAGTAGTTATTCTGACAAGGTTGTCAATGGAATGTTTTTTGGGGATACCACATTAAAAATTGAATGTGCCTCAAAAATCCAGGAGTAACCATTTATTTGTCTCAAAGCAAAGGTTGTATTCATTCATAAACATTAGTATCAAAAACAAAGTAAATCTAGATATCCATTAAATTAGCTCCAGCGTATGACAGTTTTATTAGACTATGGATGTAGTCTTTTCTACAATACTTATGACATGTGATGACTGATGTTACATTTGCATTTGATTTTACATTATTACATTAATCAGAACTGCTGCTTTATTGGTCATAAAGTGAAATCTTGCTTTCAGGGAACAGATCCCGCTACTGACCTACGGGCTGTTGGTCTCTATGGGCTTATACACTTGCTCCACCTAACATCTAGCGATGTGCTTCCCCTTGGTCAAAAGTTGTACAGTGTTGCTAATTCCGAGAGCCAACCCTTTCCTCTTGCGGTGTTGAGTCTTAATGTCACTAATATTGTTTTGAATGTGTTTAATACTGGGAAGCTAAACAGGTAATTAAATTATATGTGCTTAATAGGATCGTTTTTTTTTTTTTTTTTCCTGTACCACTACAAGCCATGAAGGATCTTGGGTGTAACACTATGTGAGAAAGTACTGGTACAAGGCCAATGGTTAGGATATCTTTTAACAAATTGATTTATTAGATTCCAGGAATGAGAGTAGTATTATGAAAGTAAAGCTAGTGCATCTGACAGATCTAAATATTGAAAATAAAATAACAAAAATAAGGTATGCATGCAAAATTAGACTTATAGTTGATTGTAAATCATAAGAAAATGGGGTTGCATTGGATTAATTAATTAATTTGGATTCCAAATTATATTTGAGTAATTACAATCATGATTCTATGTGGTACTTGAGTTTAAAACTGAATTCTCTGCCTCGCACTGCGAATATATTGAATTGCCGAACAATTGTTGAATTGTTATGATTTGTCACTAGTAAGTCACTTATTAGTGAAATGATTCCTGTCCAACCATTCACTCTTAATAAATTATCTTTTATTGATAAATATAGAGGATTTACTATCAACTTCCAAAAACTTCTTTACCAATGGTACAAGCCTAATCCAATCTTTGAAATTTCTCTATAATCATCCTATATTATCTCTTCTGCTTACTCGTGGTCACCTTTTTGATTTCCTGCTTTGAAATCAAAAAGTTTCTGAAATACAGAAATATCCACAACCAGTATTGATGCCAAAATCGCTTTAGTTATGTTTTATTTATGATCTTATCTCAGTTTTTGAATTATTTATTTCAAATTTTTCTTTTAAACATTTAAAAAAATACTTGAAAAACATGTTTCTTCTGTGTATACTAATATAAATAACAACTGTTACTTCCAGAGAATGTAATGTACGAGAATCAGTTATAGAAACTTTAAACAATTTCTATGCAGCAGTTACAGCTTACATACTTAATGTTTGGATTACACAAAACAAGACAATCAAGGATTCTGGATATTTGCTTAAAGGTACTACTTCACTAAATTTTAAGTAAAATATGGCATGATGTGTTAAACCAATTTTATTAATGAATAAAAAGAAAAGAAAAAAACTTTAAAGAATGTATTTTTTATATCTATATTTATAAAATAATAATTAGCATTTGGCTTGGTAAAATATTTAAACTTCAGTAATATATTCTTCATATTGATGTCATGAAATAAACATTTTGTCATCTGTTTTTTCTAATAGATGCTGAGCGCTATTGCGGTAGAAATGTTAAGCGTGTTCTGAAAGACTTACCTCAAAACTTGAAGAAATATCAAGTGTAGTCTTACTAAAAAAATACCAGAATGGTATTGCATGAAGACCAGTTGTTGATTACTGCTCCTTTTGGCCAATAAAAGTTTTTCTCAAGTCTAAGTAAGTAGTGAGTGTCTTGTCTTTTAATTAAATAATTTTGGACCAGTTTATAAATCTGGAATTTTTCTTACTTCTTGACTAAAACATTGTTTTATTTCTATGAAATACCCAAGTACCTTGTTGGATCAAAGTATAAGCCCAAAGCTAAAATAATTTTTCCAATGCAATACCTTCATTTATATTTAAAAATTAATTTTAGTTTTTTAGTAATTCTTGAATATGATAAAATCATATAACCATAATCTTAATTTAATGTGAAGTATTAACTATAATTCTTCTTTTTTTTTTTTTAGTTGTTTTTGTTAAGTTTTGATATTTAGTTTTTTTTTAATTTTAAACCACCAACTAAATTTAAATCTTTGACTGAGTAGAGTAACTATCTCTTAATGATTTAAATTATATAAAGTAATAAATCAAGCACATATTAAGGTGTTTATGGCTTTATTAAATAAATAAATAAATATTTCTTAAAACTAAGTTAAAACTTTTGACATTCATATAGGCAGTTTAGAACTTAAATAAGTTTACAATGAGACTATAAATCTATCATTTCAAATTTCTGCATCTAACATGTCTAATGGGCCCTCCATATTCACTTCATGAAAACACAAAACCTGATATAGTATTAAATATGTGGTAATATGGGTCATATGACTCAATAATGATAAAATGATCTTTGAAAAGACTGTTTTTCGAACGAGGTTATAAGTTGTCTGTTGTATTCATAATAGCTATGCAGATACTCACTCCACCATCCAGGTTAAGAGACAAATATTTTTGTTATCAATGTCATTTAAATGCTGCCATATGAAGTAGATTTTTGGTTATTCAATTGTATCAAAAGATGTAATTCATCGATTTATTATGTAGGATGGAATGGAATGTTTCAGATTTGACTGTGCTGATAGCTGTGCACCATCAGCTCTAGAAACTTCAACTGGCTTAGTTGCCGTTAACTTCTCTGGTTCTATTGCTCGGCCCTGTATTGCATCTATGACATGTGCAGTATGGCATCCATTGCTGTCACTCTTACCATTCTTGAGTGCGCTAACCCCTGCCATCATGAGGGCTAGCATTGAGGTCATCATCGCCTTGCCAGACAGGGCTGCCAACGCTGCCATTCCAACAGCTGCCAATGATCCAGTGGCCCATAATGCTCCTCCGTAGCCCTTCCTGCGACCTGTTAACAAATATAAAATTTCCTTTATTGTATTATATTCACTTATGTAACAGTGTTGTAGTTAACATGTTAATAATTTATAATTAGCGAATGCGTTGAAATTTTGCTCATTAAGTGTAACTATGTATTGTCAAAAAGCTTTTCCTTTATTAGAAGAAATTTGAGGATTTTAATTTTCATTTGTAATCAAATATTTAAAATCAACTGTTGGTAATGTTTAGTATACCAATTAAATAAAAAAAAATTAAATCGGAAAACTAAAATTTTTTATGGAAACTTAAAAATTCATTTTCAATACTTATCCGGCATGAATTGCAGATACTATGGACATGCAATTATGAATATTTATTTTGATTATCATATAAATTGATTATAAATATTTATACTGTTTATCTTAATGATTTAAGATAAATATTTTTCTTAGTTTTGATGATGTATTTAATAAGCTATTAGTTGAGGACATCTATAACATTTATGATTAAGGAGAAGTTTTAATGTTTTATTGATTTTGGTCTAAAACAGCTATTAAAAATGCTGAATCATTGTGTATTATAACCATGAGCCAAACATTTATGGAAAAATAAATCATATTTTTGAGCTATGTACAAATTTTTTCATATAAAATGTCTAGCCTATAAAGTTGTAACAGACACAGGACCAATGTTCTATGTCGAGCTAGGTTTTAGCTGATTCTAAAAATTTTGATACCACTTGTGTAATCAAAGCAGTATTAAACAATGTCTAGTTTTATATATTCTTTCCTTAGAACTAGATGTACCTATGTTATGAAATCTTTTTTCATGATGTATGCATTACTGAATCAAGATTTAATATAATAAACATTAAAATTGACCAAGGTTGTCTTGTGGGTTGACCACGACCAATTTGGTTCAAAATTCGGAGACAAAAATATAAAGATTATTCTTGAGAACTGTGCTATTTCTATCTGAATTCCGCTTTCTGATTCATTCCTTTTCATCATTGTTTAGATCTTAATATACGACAAATTGTCAAGTAGATATCATGATTTGCTGCACTATTGAAAAAATTATTACAAGCTGGCTAGAGATATGAAATTAATCGGCGGAATTTTAAAAGTAGTATATTTAGGTTTAATAAATATAACTTGCAAACATGATAAAACAGACTATTGGCCGATTTGGAAGAATATGAGAGTGTTCCTAAACTCACACGATAACCTTGAAATCAACTGACAGTATAATCCTTATCAAATTAAATCTTTATTGATAAATATTTAATGTAAAAATAATAATTGAGGAATTAACTAGTGACAATAAAAGAAAAGAGTTTTTGCTCTTCTTACAATCAAACTTCTAACTGCCATTTGCGTGTATGTTTATATATATATATATATTGTATGTAATGTCAATTGTTTAAAAGTGATACTTGAAAACATTATTAACGATAAGAAGTTATAATTGATAGTGTATACCATATTATTTCCTGTTTAAATGTACTATATCATCATAGTTTTAAAAAAAACTGAGCTGAGATCATGTTAAAATTCATTAAAGAGCTATCTTTCAACAATTTATAAATAAATATAAAAAATTTAAATTAAATTGTAGTATATTCTCTATTTCAACCTTCAGAAACAATAATCAAAATTATTTTATATATCTAAAATAATACATAGTATATGTATTATTATAATATTATATAAGAAACTAGTAGGCCCGTGCGAAAAATTCGCACAGCATATTGTTATCAAATGCCAAATTAATAAGAAAATGCAACTTATCAAAAGATTAAGACATCAAATGTTACTTTATCGATAAATGTAATCCACAAAGCAAACAAAAATTAATTTAAATCTTCATTTTAGTTTGGAACCAACATGTATACAAATTTCAGTTAGCTGTATATTTGCTAAAAATTGTCCGATTTCGATGATTTTTTTTTTCCTTTTGTAAGGAATTTAGTAATGTTTTATATAATCATGGGAATAACCAAGGGAAAAGTGTGTAATTTTTCAGTTATTCGCAAATAAAGTTTATTTTCTTTCATAACTTGTTTGCATGAATTTTCTGGGTGATTGGACTATTTTGCCAGCCAGTCTGAAGGAGAAGGAAGCCTTAGAAATTGGTGGCTCAATCTTGAGATTTGGTGAAAAATTAACAATGATATGGCTTGCCGATCAAAAACAACATCGATGAATAATATAAACTCCCCCTCTCTCGATCATAGAGACCTCAAGTCGACGGAATGAGACATGTATTCAATGACAGTACTACAATGAATGTAAGGTTGTGTGGATGCGAACCCTATGCCTTGCGTTATCTCGAAAATATGTTTTTCGGCTTAAAATTGCAGGATCCGATAGTTCCGAAGGAACTATCTGGGTCTTGCTCTACGCATCAAAATCTTTAAGATCCAATTTATCCCGTATCGATCTACAGACCTACCAACGTTCCAGTATCGAAGCCTAGCAAAATTTTTGTATTGACTTTATTTATTTTAGAAAGAAAAACAAAAGTGGAGAATACGATTCGCTAATCCCCCATGAAATTCTGAATCCAACGGTACCCCATTCGTGGTATTTGAGCATGACAGGAGCTTATATTTGGTACAAAACCGATTTCGAGCCTTACTGTAATAATATATGTACGGATAATAATCTTTTAAGTTGTGATTTTTCACATCCTAAAATGGTAGGTAGGAAAAATTATTTTTAGATTAAACCTAGGTTAGGATGCTATACTTGATAAGAGATCCTTTCTATCCCTAGTGACACTCCATTATCATATAGTACCTCTTCAATGAGAATGAGGTTTTTATTTTTTTTTTGTCTCCCCTTTCATGCCTTTTAAGCTACACAGGTTTTTTTCCAGGCCCAGGAAATTATGCAGAGTTAAAAGGCCCCTGGATAACTAAACGATGAGTGCTCCACTCCTCCCCCGCAAAAATAAAAATATAATTTAGGACATGAAATTATATAAAAATGTGAATAACATGGTATATTACTTTATATTTTGTTGGTTCTTCTTTTCTGATTCAGGTGCTTTATTAATAGAATCTTTAATTTTTTATAACTCCTAACATTAAACAAGCATTCCTCCAAGTCTACCTGGGTTGCCCTACCCTAAGGCCCACTGTGGGTGTGCGTGTGTGTCCATTAACTCTGCTTTTAGATCATTTTTCAAAGTTCTTTATAAATAATATGAAACTAATTATAAGTATTGCATCTAATAATACCTGTCTCTTGGGATCCTAAACTTGTTAAGATGTGGTCAGAAAGTAATCTGGCTTGATTAACTGTTGATTGGTCGAGGACCTTTACATTCAGTGTAATGGTGGACAAGTAATTAGTAACTGAAGAGGATAAAAAGTTATCAACGTCGTAACTGCTGTAATTGCCTTGCTGTATGGCCCCCAGTATTTCAGGTGATGCAACGCTGCTCAAGTTGTGGCTGAGGAATATACCAGGAAGCAGTTGGTAGCTACCTTTGCTTCCTATCGCAGCCACTAATCCTACCAGGTCCAGTTTTAAGCAATTCATCGAAAAACCTTTAGAGCAGATAGCCTGAAAGAAATGTAACAATTAATGATATGAAGAGCATTATGATTATGTATACAATTTATGTTGTTCATGTCTCTTGGTGAGTGTATTATTGATTCATATTAATTTTAAATTTATTTTATGCTTGGTCTAAACATGCCATCACTTCTATATTTTATATGAAAATTGAAAGTGTTTTTATAATCTCTACTCCATTTTCAGGCAAATATTTTTAATTTCACATTTATCTGAAATTCCTGACATTTACCCGTTATTCAAGATCATGATACAACTAATGTCAATTTCTAAAATCTGTGTGTTTATGTTGATTTTACTAATCCTTCATTTACAATTGAATTGTGTTCACATATTTTACTTATTATAGAATTAGATCCTCTTCTATTTATCATCGTTTTATTGGAGAAAATTAGGTATTCTTTACTGAAATTTCAATTAAAATGGATCTCCCCAAAAACCACTAAGAAACTATAAATATGAATTCAGCCGATGAAGTTAAACATAGGATTTTTTCTTCAAAGGTATACAAAGTTTGGTTTAAAGATGGCAAACTATTATACAATGTGTGGAATATTTAAACTGCATTTTAGATTGATAAATTATTAGATTATTTATCCTACACATTATAATAAAATAGTGACATTACTTATGGGATGATCTGATACATGACAGATTTCTATTTTTTTTGTATTTATTTTTTAACAAATACTTGTCTATGTATGTATAAAAGTAAAAGTGTGTGGATGATTATATAAAGTTTTAAATATTTTTTTTGTCTTTTTTTTTTTAATTTAGTTGAAATTTTCTTTTATTTATATATACAGCCAGACCTTTAAAATAAAATGTTTAAATTTTTAATTGAAATCATGGATAATTTGAACTTTTATCAAAAAGTAAAAAAAAAAAAAATCCCTAATTTGATTGTTTTCTATTCTACCAATATTTTATTTTTGAGAGAAAACTATAAATACTATTTCCATTTATCTAGTTTTAGTGTTTTGTTTGGACATACTTATAAAACAAATTCTCCTCCCAAAACCGATAAGGGAATGCCAGTGGGTTCAAAGATCACAATGGACTTTTTATTGATTACAAATTTTGGATAAATCAAAATTTTTCAGCTTCCTTTCAACTTTGAATTTGACTAGCATACGTATATAATCATTCAAATAAATTAATATACATAAATCACAGAGAATTAGCATTAACCTATGAAATTTAATGATGCGAGATTCATAAAATGCTATAGATTAAATCACAATTAGTTCAAATTAGGGATATGATATAGTAATCTTAATCATTATAAGCTGGTTTTGTTGATATATATTAGCAGTTGTACATTTGAAAGTTGTAAATTAGTGCACTGTACATTTTCTTATTATGCATATATTACTAGAGATATATGCAGGTCAGGAACTGCATAAACTATCCAGTGTATTCGGTTTAAAGAAAATTTACCATAGAATAAATCTCGATGTTCTTACTAAATCTATAATAGGTTTATGCCCTAAAAGATAACACTCGAGTAAAGAAGAGTGTCAACTCCCTTCCGAAACATAAATGTCAATACTATGCTGAATTCTATTGGTTATGTGAAAATTACTGTTATTTTTATTAGATTATTCAGATTTCAGAAACTGCTATCTTTGGTTTCAATCAAAATTTAAGAATAGAACAGAGGTGTCCATCCCTACCAAGGTTGATGCTGCACCCATTCCCGCCCTAGTAGTCTGTGGGCCAGACCCTCCTATCATGCATCTTCCCCCTCCTTCTCCTCCTCACATCTCCATAAATTAAATACTGTTGTGTTCTTTGTAACATTTATTAGAAAAAAGCTAATGGTCCAGCATTTGACCCTCTTTTTAGTAGTATCATGAAATATTATTATATTATGAAATATATTATAGGCGTATTTCCTCGTTTTGAGACCAAATACTAACAATCAGTTCTGGTTACCTAGAAGAACTTATAGCTTTGCCCTTAACATCTTTCTTTGTGCAGAGAGAAT